TGCCCCTGCAGCAGCCACAAAGGACTGCCCGAATCACTGAAGCTCTCCAAATCTTTACCAAAGATTTGGAGAGCTTTGAATTGATTCGGACCTTTAAATTGGTCCACTGATTTGATTTCGATTCAGAGATTCGGCTACCGAATCGGGCCAAATCTCCTCTGAATCGAATCACCACCTGAAGCTTCATGCACCCCTACCTGCCAGGCAATTTCATCTAATTAGGCACCCAAAAATTTATTGTACCCCACCCAGCCTATGCACCCTCCTATTTGGGAGGGCTCCAGCCCCAGCTGGGGTGTTCAGCTTCTTGATGGGGCCTCTGCTGCCATTGCTGCAGCTGCCAGGGGACCTGCTCTATTTCCCCAGCCTCCAGCGCCTCCTCCTTGTGTCACTGCTGCTCTGCTTGCTCCAGGCACCAGGAAGCAAAGCTGTGGCTGGGTGGGAGCATGGGGCTGGTAGCAGCCTATAGCCTGAGGCACGCACTCAGCAGTGTGGTGGAAATTTTTTTATGGAGCTCAGGTGGGCAGGGTGTGGGTATGGGTGTGTAAGGTTTGTGGGGTGTGTGGTGTGGGGATCCCTCACATGCCCACCCCCTATGGATCACAGTGCCCATTGAAGTTTGCAACAGCTGCAGCAGGAGGCAGGGCCCGGGAGTGCTCATGGCTCTCACAGATGCAGCCACCGGGCAGCACATAGCTCTAGCCAGTTCCAGGAGCTGGACATGGATGCAAGGAGCGGAACCAGGCTGGCCCACCTCTATTGTGCGGGGCTCACGTGAAGCTCCCCAGATTCATGTACCAGTGGGGGGAAGCCCTGAGTGATGGAGCTGGCGTCCTGGCTTCACCCTCTGCCACCATGTGCAGCTCATGGGACACGACTGGAAGTGACAGAGAGTTGTGGTGGCTGTGCCTGCGCAGGCCACAAGCACCTTGAGGGCCCACTGCTTTCTGCAGCTGCTGCCGGCAGGGGCAGGGGCTGTGCACTGTGGCAGGGATATGTGGGGGGTCTCCACACTCTCCCACCCTCCCTCACACCCCACAACCCTCCCCACACACACCTACCACCCACAAAATACCCTATACCCCCCACACAGCCCCCCCCCCTCCCAAATCTTACACATGCACCCACCCACTCATGTACACAACCCATACCCCACCATACACACACACCAACACATCACACCCCACACACTCCACCACATACAATAGTTAAGACTTCGTTTTTGAACTATTATGTAAACATCTCACACCACACATAAATCTGGACAAAAATATTTTGTGAAATAAAATTAAAATACATTCTAGTAGGTGTTTGATTTTTAGTATATGATTCGTCTTTTTCTGGTTCCAAGATGGTAAACCCTCCCCTAAAAGGAGTACTTCCAGGGTCAAGAGCAGGGTGGCAAAGGACAGGGGCTAGAGGGCAGGGCTTCCAGTCCCAAGATGGCTACCAGGGGTGGAGCACCTGTCAAGGAGTGGGGCTACCACTGCAGCCCTCAGCAGCTCACCAAAACTCGTTAAGTGGTTCTCCAGCCAAAATAATTGCCTACCCCT